ATGACATTGTGGAGGTGAGCTATACCTCACAGAGTTATTCTCCAACACAACCTCACCCCCCCAATATAGTGAAACCCTTATTTTTGTCACTTCAGACATTGTAAAAAATGGATTGATAAGAAGAAGAGAGAAGTATGAACGTAAGTTTGAAGATTGAATGAATTTTCATAAAATTGAAACACCTTTAAATAAGGCAAGTCCGAATGCAAAACGCAGTACAATACTACGTTTTATGTATTGAATTATTGTTATGTCAGTTCATTATTGGTGGGCCAAAAACCAGAGTAAAACACAGTATAATACTGCGAACAGCTTTATAAAACGCAGTATTATATTGCGAATTACAAAAAAAAAAAAAATTAAAGTGAAACGCAATATGGTACTGCGTTTTACTTTAACGGACTAATTTCCGTTAACGTAGTTCGCAGTATAGTACTACGTTTTACTCATTTATGTAACTTTTTTTTAAGCAGTATAAAAGTATTTTTTGTCCAAAAAAACATCAAAAAGGTTTTGGACTCGTGGTTCAACCATTCCAAAAATACTCTTAAAATGGTATTATATTGTACGCTTTGGACTAAGTCTGCACGGTTTTCTCCAAAAGGTCTCACACCATTAAGAGATCCCAAAATATGTAGGCTCCCAAACTTTTCAGCTACCCAACAATCTTCCCCTCGAACTAAACTCTACGTGGCTCACTACCACGATTCACGGGTCTCCCCCTCGAACCAAGTTCCATGTGACCATTGACACGCAATTTTCGAGATTCACTATATGTCACTCATATTGTTAGAGTATTATGGCAACCAAAGCTTGTAACTAGCTTCTTCTTGTGTGCGCATCGTCCCGCACCATCACTTTGCCATCTTCATACTCGTCCCGCCGAACCTGGGCTCTGATACCAGTTATTGGACTAAAACGGCCTAATAACACTCTTAACATAGTGTGATATTGTCCGCTTTGGACCAAGCCCGTACGTTTTTCCCAAAAGGCCTCACACCATTAAGAGATCCCGACACCTTATATGTAAGCTCCCAAAATTTTCAGCTACCAATACGAGACTTTGTTCACATACCCAACATTTATTTTGCATATTTTCAAGTGTGTCAAGTGCACACTGTTAAAGGTAGCTTTTGTGTATGTTTATTTCTTTATATTTTGATATCCCTTAGTGAAATTTTGACATCGTCGCTACATACATCCACTACCCATCGCAAGCATCCACCAAGAGAAGAAAAACATTTTTTGGAGTTGACGGTACTCTTTTGGACAATTAAACGCGACTAGTAGACCACGGCGTGCTTCCCATATATATATTTCACATGTTTGCCACCACCTATGCTCATTAGGTAAATATTGATCGACAATTTTCATATTCTTAAAAAACTGAGCAATTTAAACTAGGCATCAATATCTTTTCCGATAAAAGATGGGTTTTTTACACAAATAGCTAGTCGAATTTACTATTTATTTTTTCTAAGAAATATACATAAATTATAGAATAATTATAGAAACATTTACACTGTATATCACCCGACCTTCTATAATTATACACAATTTTACATATATTATACATGAATTATAAATATATTATATATTCGATGGCTATTTTAAATTTAGGCGCTTGGATAGAAGACTATTTAAAGTAATTCTTCGTAAAAGACACGGGAAAAAAGCAAAAACAATGGGCAGAAATCCTCAAATAATAAAAGCAAAGAAAGTAATTTGACAGTTGAGAAATGCAAAAAGTTTAACGTAGCCAAGCCTATGAATAGATATGTAGCCCCCCTATATGGCAAGAGTGTAGCCCAACCAAATAGGAAGCCCTAGCAAGGTTTGTTATTATAATTTAGAACTACTATTGCAGTTTCTGTATTTACTTGTAATAATTTCTCCAACATATGCTACTCTACTGTTATTATTTTTCTATGTTTGGGAACTCCTTTTATTTAATGGCCCCAAAACTGCCCACATGAATGAAAAGCTACTCTCTTGTAGCCATCATTACTACATGAAAGTATACACATGATCCCAAATTCCATGGGCTCACATGGTGTCAGGTTTAGCATAGGAAATTCTGGTTTCTCAAACACATCAAATCAATAGGCATTCCCAAAAAAACGCAGTTCAGTGCGCTAAGCTCCGACTATATTCGTGATTCGGAGAAGAATCGTACCACAAAGATCTATTATATACAGCTTTACCTTGTGTTTTTACAAGAAGTTATTTCCACGACTCGAGCTTGTGACCTCCTGGTCACATGGCAGCAACAGACATTCCAATATTTGTATAAGTCATCATTAATATGTTATGTTTACAAACTTACTGCAAATCTTCTCTTTTATCTGGACTTAGGATTCAGAGACGGATCAAGAATATAAGTTCTATGAGTTCAATATTTAATGTTCTTAACATTAAGCTCATTGTACATACAAAAGTTATGAGTTTATAACTATTAATTTTTGCAATTTGAATAGATTCTTAAACATAAATTTATGTTGTATTGGGTTTAGATGAACTCGGTACCATCACCCTACACCCGCCTCTGTTAGGACTAGATATGCTTTGCGATACTTAATTTATACTGCTATTATATGTCTTAGCAAGAACTTGATGAACAATATCTTTACTTACTCTTAACTTATGTTGATACTATTGCCTCTTAAATCATGCTAAAAACTTAATTTGTAATGCTATTACCCTATTATACTTGTAATGCCATAAAATTGGCTATGACCATTTGCCAGCTTGTCCAAGCTGCATGGCATTTACAGCTATATAAAATTGATCTTGAAATTGCTTGATATTTTTCATTTTTTTTTCAAAAAATTGTTATTTTTTCCGGAATCAGTGTTTGTCCACGAAAATTTCAAATTTCACTTAAAGTTGAATTTCGGATTTTTTCGGAAATTTAAAAAACTCCAAAAAGCTGTTTTTCAAAATTTTCACTTCAAATCACTCACAAAAATTCAAAAACCGCTCTAAATTGTATTTATATCCAAACACAACTCTAATTTTCAAATATTATTTTCACTTAAATTTTTTCTGTGGAAACTTTACAATTCTTACGTCCAAAACGCCCACTAAGTCAAACCCAAAAGTCATTTATCGATGAGAATTGTTTGAAATCATATAAAAAGATAACTTATTGACGAGACTGATAAGATGTACCCTGAAATATTTCCTTTCTATAATAGGAATTACACATAAAATCTAACAAACAAATATTTCAGCTCCAAAACATGTAATAATACAAGGAAATGGACTTGGTGAAAAGCTAAACTTGACAATGTAGAAGTGCAGTTACAATAAGCCATCACTGGAAAATTCATTGTTAGCATAAGAACTAGTCTGAAATTGAGTGTTCAATGGAACACTAGTTTGAGCTAAAAAACTGGACTGAAGGTATTCCCTCTGATTAAAGAACTGGTTTTGGCCTAGGATTGAGGGGAAGTTATGTGATAAAAAGCTGAATGTTGAATCCTCTCTTAACTCTAAATTGGAGTTGGTTGAAAAAATGACGGACTGATCTTGGGATGACTGGAAATTGTAAAAGTTGCATTGGGCTTGGTTTTTGGTTTCTGAGTGAAAATGGCCTTGTTGGTATCTCTGAAAATCACTTACAGATTGAATCTTGGCGTCATTAACTGATGAAAACAAGCTCAAATTTCCATTTGGGCTTTCATTCTGAACTCCACATTCATATTTTGGAATGTCACTGTATTCTTGACTAACTTTTGAACTCTGTTCAAGAACAAATTGGCCTTCTTCATTTTCAACATTTATAGTTCGCCAGTTCAGTGCTTTATTTGTCGAGTCAACCTTCCTGGAGAGGACTTGAAAAGGATTATTTTCAAGTGCGTCAATTGCAGCTTTAGCTTCTTTGATCAGCCAATCGATGGCCTTACTTGGACGGTCATAGCCAAGTCGATCTTGAACATCATAGAACTGAATTGCAGTGTTTGGTGAGAGCCTAACTCGTCTGTCCCTCGGACCGCTGGCTGTTGAAACCTTGCTGTGCCGGTCTTTTCGTCCTGTAGCTCGGACAATGCGGCTTCTGTGGACTTCTATCACATCAGTGTTGGTTCTCTTTGGCTTCTTTTTTGGTGATACATTCTTGATTTCTTGTTTGAAACTAGGACATTGTGCGTTGTTTTGGTGCTTTGGGACTAAAGTTGCGCTAGAGGAAGTGAAATTAGCCCATTTTGCGTAGTGGGAATCTGCGTGTGTTTGGCATAATTGGTGAAAATGATGGTTTTGGTAATGACTTGGGAGGATATTTTCTTGAAAAACAATGTCTTCCTTTTCTTTTTCTTCTTCTTCTGATGATGATTTATAGTCTTCATCTAATACTTGAAGCTGATGATTCATTGGAAAATCCAGATTTGAAGTAATTTTCTTCTTGCTTTCTTCTATTTATTGACTTTTAAATTTTTTCAAATGTAGTTGGCGCTTGACAATTGCTTTATACAAAAGACTGTGTGACTTTGGGCCCTCAAATATTAGCTTCCCATTAGCTTGTACTTTGTAACAGCTATATAAAGTGTAGTAAATACTGAAATATACTGAAAAAATCATACTGTTTTGTTAAGTACTCCTGTAGAATAGGAAATAGCTGTCATGCAGGTAAGTATCCTGCGTGACAGAAGGTCACGAGTTCAAGCCGTGGAAATAGCATATTGTATAATTATAGGCTACGATTGTGTACGATAGACTTTTGTGGTCCAGCTCTTCCTCGGATCCCGCGCATAACGGAAGCTTAATGCACTGGGGTGCAAATAAGTATCCTAGTTTGTTTATGTTTGTCTACTAATTGCCAATAAAGTATACATAGTTACAAAGACTAAATAACTAGTAGCTAGTAGGGTATGGTAGAACGGTAAATGTTCATTTAAGCAGAGGTCTCGAGTTCATAATTCGAGAATGTAATCCTCTTCGACAAGGAGCACTTAACCCATATAGTGGGTTTTCTAGCTAGCGCAAATTGAGTCCGGATTAATTGAGGCTTTGGTTTCGACACCGATTGCTCGGGAGTGGATATACCTCATTACGTTATCCTAAGCAGTGTCACGGGACACTCGTTTTATTGAATTCTTTTTACTTGATCTATATATATAAATAAGAAACAAAATGAAAATATTACTACTCCCTCCATTCAAGGTTATGTGAACCTATTTCCTTTTTGGTCCATTCCAAGAAGAATGACCCCTTTCTAAAATTTCAGTTCTACCCTTAATGAGAAGTTTTACGGAAAATGCCTAAAAATGCCACTCAACTAACATAAATGGCCTATCTATGACATCCGTCAAAAGGTCGTCCTATTCATGCCACTAACGTTATACTTTTGGCCTATTTATGCCATTGTCTACTAACAATTCCATTTTCTGGTTTTTAAATAATAAGAATTAATTTTTCGACCCCACCTTTGCCATGTGTCTTTATATTACTGGTTCTTCTTTAATTGACCATGCATTTCTTTTAACCCTGATTATGTATAATGAACCATGCCCAACCCGATAAAATCCAACCATCTTTTAACCCAACCCCTAATTCCTTGTCACAACCCAAAATCTAACTAGTCATGATGGCACCTAACCCAACCTGCTAGGTAAGCCAATTAACAACTATCCAATTTAATGAGATTTTTTTAAAACAAATAAATGATAAAATAATTGAACCTTAATACTTTTCCCAAGGACTAGTAGTACAAATCATGAGCTTCTAAGATTTAAATTTTGACAAGTTGAATTGAAATAAACACAACATCGGTTTCAAATAAATATAAATCACTGAACACTGATCTTATCGAGTCGTGACAAGGAATTAGGGATTGGGTTAAAAGATGGTTGGATTTTATCAGGTTGGGCATGGTTAATTATACATAATCATGGTTAAAAGAAATGTTGGGTCAAGTAAAGAAGAACCAGTAATATAAAGTCACGTGGCAAAGGTGGGGGTCGAAAAATTAATTCTTATTATTTAAATATCAGAAAATAGAACTGCTAGTCGACAATGGCATAAATAGGCCAAAAGTATAACGTTAGTGGCATAAATAGGCCAAAAGTATAATGTTAGTGGCGTGAATAGGGCGAGCTTTTAACGGATGACATAGATAGGCCATTTATGTTAGTTGAGTGGCATTTTTAAGCCTTTTCTGAAGTTTTTATAACCACACAAGTACTCTGACCCTTTTTTGACTTGTTTAGGATCACAAATTCAAAAAGTCTTTATTTTTTCTTAAATTCCGAGCCTAATCAAACATGTTCACATAAATTGAAACGGGGGAAGTAGTATTTTAACTTTAGCAATACGTATAGTAACTTTCTCACGCACGAACGTTAGTTTCGAATAGATTATATCAAGAATAATCAGGGTGATGATATTTTCCTCTTCTTGTCACCCTCACCTCTCCCTACTCGGAATTCTCTCAAGCGATCTTCTGTGTATTCGTTTCAATTTTATTGGATGGACCCCTAAAGCCAATTGTACTGTGTCCCATGCAAGTAAATTAAAGTAGACAAAACAGTTCAGTCCGTGGGATTCACACTTTTATCTTCTTGTGACATCCATTCAGTAGTGTTCAGTACCAAACTCCCTCTGCACAAATAGTTATTGCTGTTTTGCTGTCAATTCATACTTGTTTGCAAGTAACACTAGCTAGTCACCGTGATGAGTTGCAGTGGATGAGGCTATTCCTTCCTTAACTACAGGTCTCAAGTTTGAGCCAAAAAAAAAAACTAGTATTTCTCAAATACAAGTATATTTGTCTATAGTTTAATTAATCTATGTTTGCATATTACTACTCTTCTGTTTTAGCTTATGTGTCATATTTTCTTATATTTAGAAATAATATTGTAACTTTAAACTTCTTAATTTATTCTTAGTGATAATATTTATAATCATACAAATATTTATGGCTTATTTTAGACTGCTAGCTTGTGTATAAAAAAAAATTCTTTCTTAAATTTCATATTTAGTTAAACACCACCATATAGTTAAAATAAAAAAAGTATTATTTTTACGATCGAATTATCAATTAGCGTTTGTATTGTAAAAATATCTGATTGATTGTGTAAATATTTTTTGCCTTAAACTCAACAAAAGTATATAAGAGGGAGTGGAACCCTTTAATTAAGTAGGGACCTCCTAAATTCAAAGATGGAGGACAAATTGCATGCGTGCATGTGCATGGTCTTTATCACCCAACTTTAATTTGCTAGTAATTTTTTTTTTTGGGGGTTAGTCTTCTTCTCTTTTGTTTCTTGTATAAAATAATAAAATAAATAAAGTTTTTTATTGCCGTGACATAATTAGATTTGTGATTTATAGTAGGGCAAAGATTACTTTTTAGCTCGTGGCCGAAGCTATTTACATTCGTTAACCGTAAAAGTGTATAAAATTTATATAATTTTTTGTATATAACATACAGAAATAAATAAATAAATAAATATATATATATATATATATATATATATAGTTTTTTGCTATTATTTTGAGAACGGCTATACAATATCATTTTTTTATTTTAATATTACCGTCTATATCTTCCTAATCTCATGTTTAATTCTCAGCAATAATGAATGGTATCCAAGATTCCCCTATCTTGAATAGTAATCTTTTCTATTATAAAAAGATACTAAAATATCTGAAAAGAATATTTCAATCTGAATTGCCGGTGCTAAGCATAATTAGACACTCAATTATTAAGCAAAACTCAGTAAGACTAATCTAGTTTAATTAGTCAGTTTATAATTTTATAGATCATTTTAATGTCTAAATCATTATTGTATTCCCTACACCTTTGCTAATTTATTGCAACCATAACTTAGCCTAAAAAGCTGAAAAGGGGCATAAACTACATAATTGACTTCAGTTAATTACTTCACTACTTAAGACCTCTTTTCCCTTTGTCACGTGATTCCATTCGACCCTTCTGAAATAGTACATAGCAATCTATATTTTAAAGCAAAATAAAATCATTGAGATTTACAAAAAAAACTAATAAGTGACTGAAGAAAGAAAGAAGGAAATAAAGTGAAAAAGGCATGTAATGAAGACATACACAGAAAGATGCAAGGAAAGAAAAAATGCCCCTATCAGTTTAAAAAAATCACATCAATTTGACATGATTAACTGATAAAATGAGATGAGAATATTTAGTAATTAAATATAATTAACTAATGTATAAAAGTTTGTGTGCAAATACTATTGGAATAAGTACTTTCTCATTCATCTTTAATTTGAAAATACTATTCAAGTTGCATGCAAGTGTTAAGCAAAAATAAAATAAAAAAATCGATGATGTTATATCTGATTAACGTACAAATTTCTAAATACATAGCACTGTATTTCTAGGATTTTTAAACTTGTATATACGTCCATATAAAGAAGCGAATCCAAGATTTTACTTGATAGGTTCGACATTTAAGATTCTTAATATTAAAATTATTGTAGTTTTATTATTACAGGTTTAGACATAGCATTTATTGTATTTTCATGGACTTTGACATAAAAATCTATACTCCCCATCAAAACATTAGGCTCAGATGAACTTGATACCGAAATAGTGATCCACCCCAATCATATGTATAGTGGAAGGAAATTTACTATAATTATGAAATTATTCTTGTTGCCACTTATTCGATCTTATTCGGACAAACAAGGGTGAACTTACAAGGTAAGGTATAGGATCAGTCGAATTCAGTGATATTCTAAATGAAGTGCGAATTCTGAATCTACCTCTATAGAAAAGAGTTCATTAATAAAATTTGATGGAACGATATTAAAACTAGGTTATAAGGAGGAGGCTTGTCATATTTCAAGAACTTTATACAGTCATTATACTCACTTGCGACTGATCGGGGTCGTATGTTACGTTGAACTATTATTTTATTGAAGTACTCTTTAGTGTAGTAGGAAAATTTTGAAACAACGGTAAAGTTGTCCACTGCTAGAAATCCGGGAAAAAGCGACCGTAAAAAACGATCAGAGTTGGTCGCTATTGGGCTAAAAAGCGACCAAAAAACGACCAAAAGCGACCAAAAGGGCCTGATAGCTATATTGATGGTCCCTTTTATTTAGGGACCAAAGTTGGTCGCTAATTAGCGACCAACTTTGGTCTCTAAGCTAAATGGACCAATTTTTCTGGATATTGACTATAGAGACCAACTTTGGTCGCTTTATTAATTTAATAACATAAATTTGGCGACCAAAGTTGGTCTCTAAATATAAAATACGTTATTTATTTATTTATTAGTAATCATTAAAAAGTGACCAACTTTGGTCTCTAATCCAAATATTATATTTTAAAATATGGAAACTAGAGACCAATGTTGGTCGCTTTTTTATTCAATTATTTATTTATTTTATTAAACTAGCGACCAACTTTGGTCGCTA